GAGTCAACAGCACTGGGCTTGGCTGCTTGACATGCTCTCCTTTCCCTCTCTGGTTGCTCTTTGGTCTTTTTTGCTGGCTCCCTTCCTCTACCTCCCCTTTACATGGTGGGGCTCCCTGGGCTTCTCTTGGTCCTCTCCACATTTCACTCTATAGCAGGGCTCACAAACTCAAATGTCTGCAGGTGCCAAGTGCGGAAGAGAAGTAAGTGAAGTAGCTGGAATCCTTGTGAGGAACACCACAGGGAGCGCTGGGGACTGTGGCAAACTGAACACATACATGCACTTTCCAATGGGGAAGCCACTATGGGAGCTCCCAGCAACTGCTGTCATGCAGAAATGTAGTGAGTGTTGTTAGATGATTTTATTTTTCAAAAGAAGCCAGAATCCAAACTTTAATATAAAATCCCAATATTCACCATTGGTCCTAATTAAAAAAAAAAAAAGCATCCAGGTACACACACACCCTACACCCCCACAAGGACCAAATTAGAATCCAGGTCAGCAATGTGCAAGATGTGTTCTAGGAATTCTGCTTGGGCAGCGCAACTACACACCAAAGGTTCCCACATTTCTATCACTAGTCTAGACTTGCCTCCTTATTTGGAGATCCGTATATGGCTTCAGGGCCATATAAACAATGGCCTGCTGGACCATCTCTACCTCAGTGCCCCACGGTCTCCTGACACTGAGGCATCTGCTCCCCCCGCTGCTCCCACCAGTGTTCCCCCTCTTAATGGAGGATACCTTGAAATGGCTCAAGTCTGAAAGCCGGGCATCACGCATTCACCAAGTTTGGTCATTTCTAGCTCCTAAGTATTGATCTGCTACCACCCCAGTGTCAAGGCCATCATCACATCTCCTGGACCACTATCTCGACCTCCCTCCGGCTTCTCTGCCACCTTCCCCTCAGCTCTATCCACCACTCTGGAGCTACAGGCATCCTTTTTTTTTTTTTTTTAAAGATTTTATTTATTTATTTGAAGAGAGAGACACAGCGAGAGAGGGAACACAAGCAGGGGGAGTGGCAGAGGGAGAAGCAGGCTTCCCGCCGAGCAGGGAGCCCGATGCGGGGCTCGATCCCAG